GCCCCGTCCTCGGCGCCCGCCGAGGGGTCCCCTGGTCAGCACCCTGACGCCGGGTGCTGCGGGGGGCGGTCGCGCCCCGCGCCGGACCGACAAGCCGAGTGCTCCCACTTGGAGACGCTCTGAGGAAAAGCAGGGCAGGTTTTACCTTCCGGTCAGATTTTGCTTTGCTCTTTTCTTTTAGATGTGCTACTGTTCCTGTAGAGATTTTGTTGCTTCACCTCAGACCTATGTGACTCTGGTGGAAGGATCATGACTGAAGTCCTCCTATCTGCTGCTTTGAATGGAACTGAACCCAACCTGTTATCCAGCAGTGGCTGGGCTGTGGGAAATGCCACCACGAAGTGTTCCCTGACCAAAACTGGCTTCCAGTTCTATTACCTGCCCACCGTCTACATTCTGGTCTTCATCACTGGGTTTTTGGGCAACAGTGTGGCCATCTGGATGTTTGTCTTCCACATGAGGCCTTGGAGTGGCATCTCAGTCTACATGTTCAACTTGGCGCTAGCTGATTTCTTGTATGTCTTGACTCTGCCTGCCCTCATCTTTTACTACTTCAATAAGACAGATTGGATCTTCGGCGATATCATGTGCAAGCTGCAGAGGTTCATCTTCCACGTGAACCTGTATGGCAGCATTTTGTTTCTCACTTGTATAAGTGTGCACAGGTACACGGGGGTGGTGCACCCCTTGAAGTCACTGGGGAGGCTGAAGAAGAAGAACGCCGTGTACATCAGCACCCTGGTCTGGGTCATTGTGGTGGCCGTGATTTCTCCAATACTGTTCTACTCGGGAACGGGGATAAGGAGAAATAAAACCACAACGTGCTATGACACAACAGCCGATGATTACCTGAGAAGTTACTTCATTTACAGCATGTGCACCACTGTGCTGATGTTCTGCATCCCGTTCATACTGATTCTTGGTTGCTATGGGCTCATTGTGAAAGCTTTGATTTACAAAGATTTGGACAATTCTCCTCTCAGGAGAAAGTCAATTTACCTGGTTATTATTGTGTTGACGGTCTTTGCTGTTTCTTACCTTCCCTTCCACGTGATGAAGACCTTAAATCTAAGAGCCCGGGTGGATTTTCAGACACCACAAATGTGTGCCTTCAACGACAAGGTTTATGCCACTTACCAAGTGACGAGGGGCCTGGCCAGCCTCAACAGCTGCGTCGACCCCATTCTGTACTTCCTGGCAGGTGATACCTTTCGAAGGCGCCTTTCCAGGGCGACCAGGAAATCATCCAGGAGAAGTGAGCACAACGTGCAGTCCAAAAGCGAGGAAATGACTCTCAATATTTTATCAGAGTATAAACAGAACGGAGATACCAGTTTGTAAACAAACATGGAAGATTTGGGAACGGTTTGAAAAAATCCTCTGCTTTGAGACAGCAGGTTACTGTAGTGCTACAAGTGTGTGAGGAGAATCTACCAGTCTCAAATTCGTTTTAGGTAAAGCCTCATTTTCTGATCTTAGAGAAAGCTTAACAAAGAATTTTAATGGAAAGTAACATGTCAGAATTCATCATTTCCCTCACCTTATGATATTCTTGTTTCTTTCTGACTTGTGTCAGATAAAGTAAAATGAAGTGTATCCCCTAAAGGATGAAAGGAACAACTGAGACTCCCACTTTCAAAAATCTTCTCAATCAGCCTCTCTTTAAAAATCGGAAATAAAAATAAGAGCGAGCAGTATTTTCTCTTCTGGGGCTCAGTCCATGTACCCAGCCTTTTGCTCACTTGCTGTAGTAAACAAGCATTTAAATTGAAGCCATGATGCAGTTATCTCACCCTTACAGTTTTATTATTTCATCTTCATCTCGTGTTGATAATCACTTGGTAGTTCAGTAGTGTTGAGGGTTCAGTCCCCTTTGAGTGCTGGTGTTGTACAAAAGGTCAGCTCACCAGTCTGTGCATGGTTGTGCTTTCAGACTGTGGTGGTTGTTGATGAGAAGTTTGGAACCCCCTTAGAGGCAGCCTGGCCCACGGGTGAGCTGGCAGTAGCAGGTCTGGGGAGCCGGCACAGGGGGTGCACGTGGGGCCGTATTTGGGACCAGATGTCAGTGCGGAGGCGATTGGGTCGCATCCTGCCTCCCGTGCTGAGGCAAGCCAGCGTGCTGTCAGCTGGAGGAGCTGGCCCGGGGAGCGGAGCCGGGGCGCAGCCGGTCTTCCC